ATGTGTGTGTGTGGGTATTTTCCATGAGCAGATCTCAAATAAGTCCCTAAAAGGCTCAACAAACAAAACTGATGGAATTGTTGCTCAAAACAGAGAGAGCAGTTTCCTACTAGGATTTGTTCTCTGCCTTCATATGTCGTATATGCTGGGTGCTTCCTGGAGATGGAGTGCAGCCCACTGGAAGCTGTTCTGGAGTCAGTTGATCTGGAAACCAGGCTCATTAGAGCCAAGTGATCTTTGAACACTCATTTATCTGAGCCTCAATTTTTTTCATCAATATAGTCAGTCTTTGGTAATATGTACTTTGGGCAGTTATAAGGATTAGAAATACTCTGTACAAAGCTCCTGGTATATAGTAGGTGCTTACTACAGTAGCTTTTAGCATTATTATTATTACCACATTGGAGTAGTAGTGGCTTAAGACATTGCTCCATTTTACTGTCATTGAGGAATTTGTTACCAGTTGGGACAAAGAATCTGAAAGCTAAGTGTTTGTTAATTATTTCCCATATATTTGTCAAAGGCAGCCTTGGAGCTAGATATATGAACCTCAGTTTGCAGCTTCTACTACCTAGAATCTTTTCCTTTGTCTGTTGTTTTGGCACACAAAGAAAATCATGCCATAAGCCTTTGGCTGCTGCTAATCTGCAAAAGACAGCTTGAGAAAACATTGAAGCAACAAAGCACCATCTCACTCCATCTCTACATATTTCAGAGGGTATTTCTACAAGATTCAAACTCCCTTTTAAAACCACACAACCTGGGCCTGGTGGTACATGCTCATAGTTCCAGGCCTCTGGAGGCTGAGGCAATGAGGATCACATGAGCCTGGGGATTTGAGACCAGCCTGCGCAACAGAGTGAAACCTAGGCTTTTGAAAAGTTTCATAGCACAAATGAACAGGTCCTTGTATCATAAAATCTCAGTGTTGCACTTGGTGTTCTCCATCCCTTACTCTGTGGGTTCAGGAGGATGAAAGTTTGTTGTTCTCCTCTTGCGTGGGGGCTGCCTCCTAGCAGCCCACAAAGCCAGGAGGGGCAGGAGACAAGAAAGTGCCTGGAATGGTTGGCAAGAACTGTAAAGGGATCACACCCCCCCCCTCCTGGAACAGCTGATGGCTAGTTTCTCTTTAATACCAGTGAACAAAGGCTCTATACCCCTAGGGGGGTGAGTGGGAGCTCCAAGAATAGGTGTACACAATTGATTGGAATTAGGCACTTCACGACGCTTGATTTGCATTATACAGCATTTTCATATCATAAGAGTAGAATGTCAGTGCTTGATTAACATATAGATAAGCGCAGGAGTGGAGAGCTAACAGGGAGCTGTGTCAGAGGCCATATATCAAGTGTAGCTATGGGAATCTGTAATGTAAAGGCACTCACCAGATGAAGTCAGGCAGAGAGCAAGGTCCCCACTTAGGGGAGGGAGTTCTGCCTTTAGCTTCATGCTTGTAATGGGTATCCAGTACAGGCAGGAACTGCAACCTCAAAACTTCAACCACAACCAGCAGGGTACCTCCAACAGAAGTTTGGAGGAAGTAAGGTCAATAATGAGTTGGGGCAACCCTCGAAGCTGACTGAAGCTTCATTATATCCTCTCATACACGATTTTTACATACTTAAATTATTCTGAATAGAAAGTTCCTTTTAAGCAAATGATGCTGTCAAACACCGGATTAAAATAAAGGATCTTATACTGGACAGCATCATTTGCTTTCATGGTTTTTGTTTCCCGTTGTTCTTCACTCCAGTCTATGGAATAACTAGGGCAGGTATTGGTTGTGCCTCTGATTCAGAGCTCAAACAGCCCTGGTATGGGATCAAAGTCAGTTGCCTTGCTTGAGTGAAGCTTGGCTCAGAGGGTTGAAAGAAATCAGGGAAACACTGTGCTGTTGTTGAAGAATGCTGTTTTGCAATGTGCTAACAATGTACTGTTATTGCTATGGGATGACCCACTGGAATAGGTGTTAAAGAACCAATTGTGCTTGAGTCAACTTGAGGCCAAAAGGAAGTGGAGGAGGCTCTTTTGGAGTTCAGATACCAGAGTAGTGAATCATTTGTTGTTGTTGTTTTTGAGATAAGGTTTCTCTGTGTAGCCTTAGCTGTCCTGGACTCACTTTGTAGACCAGGCTGACCTTGAACCCTCAGAGATACACCTGCCTTCTCTACCTTCTCCCTGAGTGCTGGGATCAGAGATTGAATTTTAGTTTCAAAAGTCTCTCCCTTTTAAGTTCTTTGAATGACAAAAGCGAACATTTTGCTTCAGGTACCAGTCCCAAGAATTCCAAGGATTGAAACTAACTCAGAACACTCTTTTAGCTCTCCTTCTTTGTCTTTCTCAAGGTGTTAAGGGGTGCAAAAATGGAAAGGACACTTCAGTTTGAAATGCCTTGGAAAGAAACATTGCTTCGGATATTGGAAATGATAGTACATGTTGGGAATCCCAGTGTTCAGGTGAGGCAAGAGGATAAGGAATTTAAGGCCACTCAATAATGATAATAATTGGATAATCATTGGATAATCCTTGCTCCCTTTCTTCCCCCTCTTCCTCCCTCAGCACCTCTTTTTCTTGCCTTTGACAGGGTTATGTAGCCTAGGCTGTCTTCAAGTAGCTTGTTGCTAAGGCTAACTGTGAAATCCTAATCCTCCTGCCTCCACTTCCCAGTGCTGGAATTATCCTTGTGCACCACCACACTGGACTCTTTTTTTTTTTTTTTTTTTTCAGTCAGGCTGGTTTTAAACTTGAGACCCTCCTATCTCAGCCTCCTCTTTGTGAGAGCCACAGAGGGCAAATGCCTTCATTCAACTTGTGTATTTGCATGCTTTGCTTAGCTGTGTGACAGTGATAAGTCACTGATTCATCTCTCTGAGACAGTCTCTTCCACTGGAGAATGAAGATAGATCTGGCCTGACAGGATGTGAGAATGAAAACAAACAATAAACAAAAACAACAGAAGAACCCTCCACAAATCAGCATATGTTTGAGCACAGAAATGCAGGCATACATGCGCATGGTAAGCAGAACTGAAAAGCAGTTTTGTTACTGTGAACAGCATAGAGAAGGCCCAGGTCCTGGAATTCACCCAAACCAGCTGCCTCCAGGACCCTGGAAGGCGTGGCTCTGGTAGGGGTAGAGAAGGTGGTGCTTTTTTGGTTTCTGAGGAGTGAGGCATCAGGCACATAGTGCTGAGGAGAATGGAGGATGATGGGTTGCTCACCACCTCCCTCTGGCTTTCGCTGAGGGAGGAGAGGTGGGAAACTGGCAGAACCTTTCCTTTGCTGAGTCAACTGAGAAGGAGCCTGTAGAGTTCCAGTGGTGTTTAAGTGGCAGTTTTAGTTTGGGGTTTTTAAGGCTGCTCCCACCAAGAAGTAGCCTGAAGATGCATGACTGAAAGCATATGGAGCCCAGAAGTGCAGACTTGAGGAAACCACCCTGATTGGTCCAATCCACTCTGCTCTGTAGCATGAAGACAGTATTCCTGCCTTTGCAAGGCCTTTGTGTCAATAGTGGAAGAAGTGCCTGTTACTTGCCCATTTCCTCTCCCTTCCTAGCAGACAGATACCAACATGAAAGGCTTATTCTCCAGCTGCCAAACTTTATTACAGTGGTGGCCATTATTCACTTAATCATCCCAGACCTAGGAGACAGCCTTCCTATACCCACCAAAGACAGACACTTTTGGGTTTTTACTGCATGAACTTATTTATAAAGGTTCCACTTGTACACTTTGCGTGGTCTGCCTCTTGTGTCTCCACGTGTGCAGTGTCATAATGAAGTTGGACGGTACAGAAAGTACAATCTTAAAAGGGCTCTGGCCAAGGGGTGACTCCAGCTGCCCGGTTTGTAAATGAAGTTCAGGGTGGGGTTCTAAGTGCAGAAGAGAAAGCTAAGGCTGGGGGTAGCCTGGCGACAACTGGAGGAGGGCTGAGAGCACTGCTAGCTCTGTAGGAAATTTCATCCATGCTCTACCAGTTTCAGGGGCCTCTGTGTGCGGGGGAGATGTAGCCTTTATTAGGCAGTATACAAATATATTATTGGTAGCCTTCTTGCTGTCACCGCCCACGAAACAACCTCCTCCTCAGCACCTGACAGCCCTCTACCTCCCACCCCATAAACAAGAGGGAACCGAGTCTCTGCAAAAGATCCCCAACTAGACTGCAGGAGTTGAGAATAGGAGGGCTGAGTCATCTTCCTCTTCAAAGGAAACTAAAGTGGACTGGAGCCACAGAACAAAAGGATGCTCTCTAAGCAGATCATAGGCTGCTCTTTGAGGGCACCAATCCCTCTGTCCCAGAAAGTTGAGATTTTTGTTGTCATGGGTGCTGCCATCCCTTTTCTCCACATTTACTCATCTCATCAGCAGCAGTGTGCTAAACAGGCAAGGAAGAGAGGCACACATGGCCACCAAGCCAGGTAGAGAACCGCACAGACAAGTAGGCCGTCTGATGTGGTTGGAAGTTGCTGCCTTTCACCTTAAGGTTTACACTAATGTTCGTGTGAGGGGAAAGGATGAATCTTAAGAGCATCTTTTCTGGTGCTCCCATTTCTTTTGGCTAGTACTAGGACTAGGTAGGTAGGAGTTTTATAACAGAGGCCAGAGGCCTTTTATTTATTTAGAGTTTCGTGTAGCTCAGTCTGGCCTCAAACTCATGAGGTAGTTAAGGATGGCTTTGAACTGCTAAGATTCCTCCTTCTGCCTCCCAAGTCCTGAGATTACTGAAATGAGCCAATATACTCACAAAACTAATTCTTTAAAGGGTCTGTTCACCCATAGCTCTAATTTCTGAAACCCTTCTGTCATCTCTTCGTGTGTAGCACTATTTCATAGCGTGGGTGTTGCTCTCAGGGCTCATACCATGTCTAGTGGGAAGGAGAACGTTTGGACGGTTCAGATGCTGGGCAATTCCTGCTCAGAATGAAGGCAGATGTTTTCCAGACACTCAGAGACCCACGGCTGAACCCTGATGTTTACCACAAACAACAAAACCAGCAGATACTTACATTTGTGCATAGGTCCACATAATAGAGGGGATTTTTATTAATTTTTAAAAGAGAATCAATTTATACTACTATTGATTATATAGAGCCATTTCTTAGTGTTCTTTTCTGACCACTTAAGAAATCAGAATATATCGTGATGAGCTTAATAAAGCCAAACAAAAATTAATTGGTCATTACCTAGGGTAGGTACAAGCATAATTGTTTGACACTATCAAATGCAAAGCAAGACTCCACCATGACTGCCTTCACTGCACCCTCCTGATGTTGTCCTGGGTGTGAAGGTGTGTACCACGTCTTCCTTTTGCCTTTTTGGAATGATTAACCCATGTTCTGCCGGTTGCCATAGCCCCTGGGATGGGTGTCCTTCCAGTCATCCCACTCTCGCATTCTGTGCAAAGTTTTTTCTTCATTCTCTTCATCCTTTTGTTCTTGATCTTCCTGCTTTTGAGCTGCTCTTTTGAAATCAGCTAACATAGGAAAATGAGAAAAAGGAGAAACGAAGTCAAGGAAATGCAGATAAATATTAGGGAGCTCAGCTTTGCTCTGAAACCAGGTACAGACGATGAGAACGGAGCACGGCTAGCTGCCCAGGCATGGCACAAATGTATTCTATAATTGAGTACATGACATGTTATGCAATGGCAGCAAATAAAAGTGCCTCCAGAAGTTTTCACAGAAGCCAAGATCGTAGACGAGTCCTCCATAAATGGATTCTATTTTGGGAAACAATTCCTGCTGAATGGCCAATAATCCTTTCATCAAAACAAATACACAAACAAACAAAACCCAAAACAACCCCCAACAATCCTATCTACCAGTAACAATAAAAAAAACCTAGAAATCCAAAATCACTGAAGTTAAAAAAAAATGATTTGTGATTCTCCAGGGATGTGGCATTTGCAGGTGACTTATTTCATCACCAATTTGCTTTATTCATTTTTTTCAAGATTAAAGAAATTAGGTACATGTATGTTTGTAAGAGTTTATGAACGAACACTGGAAGCCCTCAGAGAGCAGAAGAGGTCATCAGATCCTCTGGAACTGGAGTCACAAGTTGTTGTGTGCCAAGACATGGGTACTGGGAACTGAACCTGGGTCTTTTGAGAGTACTGAGTGCTCTTAATTACTGAGATATCTTGCCCCAACTTCCTTTATAGTCACAGTCTTTCTATGTATTTATTTATTTTTTCTTGAATTTGTTAAATATTATAGAATGCTTATACTGTTAACCATGCCTGAGAATCAAATAAAAGAAATGATGCCATGGACAGTCTAATCCACTCTGATACTTGATTTGTGTGCTTTCTGATGATATTCGATTCTTTGATACATCTTTTAACAAGAGTTGGAATTTAACTACTGTGGGTCTTCTGTTTTCTAGTAATTTACATCAAATAAACTTCTTCACATTTGTCTCAGTTCACATTTCAAAAACACAACACCCATCAAAGTTTCTGAGAAAAATATGCATTCTTTTGGGCTGAGGAGATGGCTTGCTTAGTCAGTAAGTGCTACCTGCACAAGCATGAGCATCTGTGTTCAGGTCCCCAGCATCGATACAACACTGTATGACTGGATTTCCAGCACTGCGGAGCTGGAAACAGGGAGATCTCTGCTGCTCACTGGCAGCAAGCTGATGAGCTGAAGGTTCATTAAGAAACAGTCTCAAAAAATAGAGAACAATCAATCTCTGGCATCCACTAAGATGCCCATCCACCCCCAATTCACACAAAGACACACACACACACACACACACACACACTGAAGTCATGATAACCAAACTAGCATGGCAATGACCTAAAAATAGATACAAAGACTGAACAAATAAAATAAGAGATCCTAGAAGTAAATTCAAAAAGCTCTAGCCAACAGATATTCAACAAAGATGCTAGGAACATACCTGGGGAAAAGTCTTTTCAGTAACTGGGATATGGAAAATTGGCTGTCTACATGCAGAAGAATTAAACTAGACTTCTATCTTTCAATTACAGAGATTACTAAAATAGATAAATATCAAACTGAAAAGATGAGATTACTAGAAAAAACACAGGAGAAATCACTTCAGACATTGGAAGGGGTAGGGATGTTAAAATTGATTTCTTTTTTTTTTTAATTTTATTTATTTGGTGTGTTGGTAAGTGAGGAGGTTTGCCACAAAATGACAACTTTTGGGGGATGTTTTTCTCCTTTCCCCGTGTAGGTTCTGGTGATTGAACTCAAGGGCTCATTAGTAGTGTAGGGCAAATGCCTTTACCAGCTAAGTCATCTTGCTGGCCTTAAAAGACTTTTAAGATAAGAACCCCCCACACAAAGTATTGGAAACAAAACAAAAAAACAAGACAAATGGGTTCACTTTAAATTATAACAAAAAGTTTCTGTACAACAAAAGAAATAATCAATAGTAAAGCGACAATCTACAAGTTTGGATAAAAGTCTACATCTAATCAGGGGTGTATGTTCAGAACATATAAGGAACTCTGAAAACTCAATAGCAAAAAAACCAAACCATACCCTCCAAACAATCTAATTTAAAAATGGGCACTAGACTTAAGTAGGCATTTCTCAAAAGAAGACACAAAAATGAACAATAAATATGTGAAGAAATGACCGACATTATTAGTTATCAGGGAGACATAAAGCAAAAACACAATGAAACCTTCAGTTATAGTGCTTACTATAAAAAAAGAGAAAAAAAATAGTTCTAGAAAGAATGTGAGTAAAAAAGAACCCTGGCACATCGTTGGTGCCATGATAAATTACGACAGTCACTGTGGAGAACAGTAGGGAAGTTACTTCAAAATTAAAAGCAGAACTACCATATGATCTAGCAATCTTGCTACTGGGCAAATATCCAAAAGAAATGACATCAGTCTGTCAAGAAGACATTTGCACATTCACATTCACTCCCAGCATAAAAAAAAAAAAAAAAAAAAAAAAGCAATAAACCTATGTGTCCATCATCTGAAGAATGGGTAAAGAAAATGTTACAAATACATTAAGGAATACTATTTAGAGACTTAAAAAGGATAAGTATCTTGTCCTTTGGGGTGACATAGATGGAACTGGAGAGGATTAAGTGAAATAAGACAGGCACAGAAAGGAAAGTACTGCATGATCTTATTCATACACAAAATCTAAAAAAGTCGATAGCACAGAAGTTGAAGAGTAGAATAGTGGCTACCAGGGGCTGGAACGAATATGGGAGGAGGAGGGAGGGATGGGAGCATGGTCAATGGGTACTAAGTTACAGCTACACTGGAGGAAAGTTTTGCTATTCTACTGCATGGAACAATAACCTTAAATAATGATAATATACTAATAAAAGGAAGAGGAGGCCTGAATGTTAAGCTCAGTGTAGGAGAGCTTACCTAGCATATGTGAAACCCAACGTTGTGTCCCTATAGCCACAAAAAGAGAAGGGAAAAGCTACAAGGATTCTGAATGCTTTCTTTTTGATATCTGCCCAGCAGTGGGACTGCTAAATCTTATGGTACTTCTAGTTTTAATTTTTTTAATTAAGTGAAATGATGTTTGTGGAGACAGCTATGTTTATTCTGATTTGAAAACATGATACCATATATATCATGTATGATACACACACACACACACACACACACACATACACACACACACACACACACACACATATACTGAAACATTCCATGACACCTAATAGTTTGTCAGTTTCTGTCGATTAAGATTTCAGTAACAACTTTGATAAGAAAGGCTTGGTTGTTAAATGGACTTAGGCTACTTATAATTGCCCTTTTGTGTGTGGGGGCTACTGGAGAATGAACCCAAAGCTTCATAAAAATGGAGCAGATGTGCTATTAACTGAGCTCCATTTCCAACCCCAATTTCTTCTTCCTGTGGCCCTGGGGGCAGGGACGAACAGAAAGCACTGCACACACTAGGCAGGAGCTCTAACACTGAGCTACATTCCTGATCCCCAATTATCCTTTCTGAAGCTAAACTGGCTAGTGGAAATGAAAGCTTCCCGATCTTTCTGAACATTCTGAACACACGATCTAAGTTTATCTGGACTACTACCCTTCAGAAATAGAAAAGGCTGTTTCTCTAAGATATTCTGCTTTCTTTTGATAGGGATTTTTTTTTCTTTTGTTTTTGACAGCATCCCACTTCATAGACCAGGCCAGCCTTGACCTTACGTTGTTTTTACCTCCTGCCACAGAGTGCTGTAATTACAGGCCAGGCCTCGAATGGTACTTCAATGCCACAATTAGGCTAGTGAGTATACTTATTACTAGGCTACTCCTTGTTGTTGTCTTTTCAGTTGCTAGAGCAAAGGTCTGTGCATTTATTATGAAATACATGTTTTCATATGTTCATATCAGGGTTTACAGCATTGCTGTTGCTTCCTTTCTAAACTGAAACTCTTTTGAGTTACATCTGTGTAGTTACACACCAAAAGCCCTAGTTCTCAAAGATAGAGAACTAAGAATACCAGACTTACTTATTTACACTCCCTTACATCATACAGCACACTGCTACCAACATAATCACTGAGAATCATTACAGTTTTTTTTTGCATACACTTTTCTTATTTCCTCATTTTAAGAAATGGTTGCATTCTATATACACATTATCCAAGCCTGTATGTATTCATATTCACTCCATCTTAACACTCATTTAGTCTTGGTTCTACAAATAACTGCTCTTCAGTCACCACCAATGTCTCCCACCAATGCAGTTGTCTGAATTTCATTTTCTAAAAAAATTCTTCAGGAAGGGATCATGGAAACAATATTTCCCAGTTCCTGGATTTTGAAAATTACCTGTACACTTTAGACTTAAAAGCTTTTATCAGATACAATGTCCTTGGTTTCTGTTTTTTCCCCTCTGAGGTTCTAAAATATTTGCTACTTTATTTTCTCACAACTATCAAGTATATCATAGTTCACAGGTAAGCTAAGCCTTTTTTTTCCTTCAGAAATAAATCACTTACAAAACATTGAGGTATCTATGATATTTAATTTTTTTAACCTAGTAGTTTTACTCAAATTAGTTTTACTCATTCTGGGTGAAAAATTTCAGAAATATAATATGTGTTTATATCAAGTCTTTTTTAATTCCAGGAGTTTTCCTATATTAGTTTTTATTTATTTGTTTTTGTTGTTGTTGTTGTCAGGGTCTGTCCTACGGCTGGCCTTAAACTTTCTATGTAGCCCAGGCTGGCCTCCTACCTCAGCTGGAATATTGTTTACAACCTTGCCCAGCCTTATATTCAATTTCCCTTCTTGCCTTGGTTTTCTTGTTCAGATAATCCCACTATCCATATGACAGCTCACTTTGCTGTATTTAATATTTGTCATTTTATCCAAAACCCTTTTATCAGTTTCTTTAGTTTATATTTTTCCTTGTTTAAAAAATATTTAAATCCTTTTTCTCATACAATTTAACTTTGATTACATTTTCTTCTCTCCAAACTTCTCATTTCCTCCATGTT